TCGTTTGAAAAGTCGTGCGGAGCAGTGGTATATACTTTAACGGTGAAAACGAGAGCACTTTCATGGCTGCGTACGCGTATTTGTTACCTGTTTGCAGGGGAACTACACGCAGCAGGGGTGTTTGGACGTTGCCGGTGATATACGGCTCACAGACATCGGTGTAAACAAAAAGCATCTTAGGTAGGGCGTTGATCAGGCTAATCGGCTGATCGGCCATCACAACGGGCTTTGCTTTCGATACCACGATCGATTCGGGAAAACCTAGGATGCGTGTCAGAGATCGGCAGAGTCTCAGTTCGTGCGGGTCGTCTAGATAGTTATCGGTAGAGACGAACGACTTGCTTGCGTAACCACCTCTACATTAATCGGCTGATCGGCCATCACAACGGGCTTTGCTTTCGATACCACAACCAATTTGGGGAAACCTAGGATGCGTGCCAGAGATCGGCAGAGTCTTAGCTCGTGCGGGTCGTCTAGATCGTTATCGGTAGAGACAAACGATACGCTCGCGTAACCGCCTCTACAGAGCTCTAATTTCAGACGGTCCTTCATAGCCCTGGTAGCGTTTATTTCGTCAACGAGTGTCTGTACGTCGTCATAAACACCGTGCGCCACGTTAGAACCCGTTATCATAAGACCCACTGTCGGTTCTTTGTGGTTCTTCCGCGGTTTGGTACGGGTGGTGACCACGCCCACGTGATCCCAGTCTTTTAGCGCTACGGGCACGTGAAGAAAGGTCATAGGGATCTGTATTTCGACCAGAGCAACAGCCCATGCCCCGTGTAAATCGATCTGATGCGGTAGATGCGTGGTAAAACTGGTAGTTTTATTTTCGGGATAGTACGACATATTGCTGTTACTGGGCAGAACGAGATAAAATTGGTCCTTCATTGTTCTTCAAGCGGGTAGCCGGTATCCACGAATTAAATTTCTCGGGGTAACCGGCCCAGCTGACCAGTACTTTTTGGGCTTTCCCGCGACCGCTTCGTTTTACCACACGATCGACGAGAAACGCGTCCTTTGCGAGGTCCTTGCGGACTCGAACGAGCTCCTCCTCGTAAAAAATACCGTCAATCTCCTCGCCGGCGAGGTCTTCTAAGATGTAGACGGGTGGTTCCCTCGTTGTACCTAGGCGTACGATTTTAAAAATCTCTCGAGTCCAGCCCCCCTCGTAACCTTTCGCAAAAGGGTTCCTAGCGCTACTGATGCGTACCAGGTCGCCGACACCGTATTTAGGGATACGCGGGTTCGCCGTGGCGTATCGCCTGGACAGGTTCATACGTGCCTTAGCGGCATTATACATGGTTACGTCGACTGGACGCATTCTTATCGCAGAGTGGCGCGCCCGATTGTACGATTCCACGAGGCTCTGAAGAATATATATGTATCGTCGCGTGTTTCTATGTGTAAAGTAACGCCACATACGCTCCTTCAGAGTGCGATTGTAGCGTTCGACGACAGCTGCCTTTACGTCGGGGTTGCGTTCTACGCGGAATCCTATACCGAACTCCTCGAGCAAACGCTGCAGTACGCCATTGGTGAACTCTTTGCCTTTGTCCGTCTATAAGTACACGGGTAGCCTATTCTTACTACGCACCAAACACCTGTACCTTTGACCTTACAGACCTCAGCGTAAGAACCGTCTGGCTTGCGCACACGGTACGCGTAAAATTTCGGGCCTCCCGAAACAAAAGACGTGATATAGCTACCAACACCGTACGACTCCAGCTCGTCCGTTAAATCGCCCAAAAGACTGCCGAGTGGCGGCTCGTAAGCGTTATCGACGTGACGACCACCCGATACGTATATACACGAATCGATGTCGTAATATAGTACACGTCGATCTAATTTCTCGAGATAGTCATATAACTTAAGACGAGCTTGAGCAGTGATGTACGCGGCTATAACGACGTTTGTGTACGCTGTGGGTATCACCGATTCGCTCGTACTACTCTTGTTGACATAGAGTACTTCGTCATCGACGGGTAGAATACCCGTAATTTCGACCTCCGGACACGTAAGCAAACTTACGAGCTTCTGACGAGTCGTTACGATTTCCGTTTTAGGTAGATTTTCGCGCTGCCCGAACTTACCCCAAAAGGAATTCAGACATAGTTTGGCGACTGCTCGCAGACCGGGGTTTGATTTTATATTAGCAGGATCTAGGCGGATACCGTCGACCCGATCGTACTCCTCTACATACAGCTTCTTAGACTCATCGTCGCTGCAGTCGCGCGGCCAGCCGCTAGTCTCCTGCTTAATCTTCAAGAATGTATTTATGTAACTGGCAAAGTGACCGCCCGTCCGCGTCGTCGGATCGTACTGAGTGATCTCGTATTGCCATATTTCGTGTATTATCGTTATTTGATATCCTTTACGTACGGCGCGCCTGACCTCGTCCACAACCCATGTCCCTTCGAATATTCTATCCTCAGGATTCTCGTGAGGACACGAACCCTGTAGCGTTGACTCTGCACAGGAGCGACACAGTGCGAAAAGCAATTTACCGTGCATGCGCGTCGGTAACACGGGGTGATACAGATCTCGCGGTGGTAACACGACACACTTAATCAGCCCCTCTACGCTATCGATGTTATTGTGATCACCCGTTAGTTCGCGACAATCATCGCCCACGTACACTCTAGGGTGACCTACAGGGAATTTCCCCGTTTTCGATATGAAGGGGTACAGCGAACACACATCCACGTAGTGTATCCTCTCAGAACCCTCGACTTCGTAAAAACTGACGGTATTCCCTGTGCGACCACCGAAGAAAGCATCGCGGGGTTCCAGCGGTAGTTGCGTTACCAACGGGTTCTCATTCAATGTTCTATATAATGTAGCCTGTGCCGGATCGTTTATCCATCTATCGAATTCACACTCCCAGATTTCTGTCAATTCGTAACCGAGATACCGGATCTTATCACTCGTTGCCTGCGTTCTCTCGAAGCGCGCATCCATACATTCCCCCGTGTGCAACCGCGTATCCCTGTTTATGCGATAACATTTTGGGCACCCGTGCCAGAAGCAACCCTGAAACTGCAAGACGTGTCGCAGCCCTGTATCGGTGTCGTGGTAGTATCCGTCGACGGGCGTACCCTCCTGTAGACGGTACTCTCGAGTGCGCCCTGCGTGAACTATGGTACAACCCCAACGATGCTCCAGCGAAAGGAGCCATAACAGGGCCTTACGCGATTGTTTCTCGCAGTAGCGGTATCCGCCCGGCGGTAAAATGGCTATCTGCTCGTCCCGCAAAAAGTTTTTTCTAAAAACTCTTGAACACGTTGAGGCTATGGTTGTGCTCTCCGAGAAAGGGCCGTTAAATCGCCCAAAAGACTGCCGAGTGGCGGCTCGTAAGCGTTATCGACGTGACGACCACCCGATACGTATATACACGAATCGACAACCCCAACGATGCTCCAGCGAAAGGAGCCATAACAGGGCCTTACGTGATTGTTTCTCGCAGTAGCGGTATCCGCCCGGTGGTAAAATGGCTATCTGCTCGTTCCGCAAA